TTTTATACTACGATACCGATAGCGTCGTTTTCAAGACAGACCCTCTTGTTCAACACCTTGATCCTACCACTGGCGATTATGTAGGGGACCTCACTGATGAGATCGACGAAACGGGTGAGGAGTTTATAGAAACATGGTTGTGCGCGGGGCCAAAAAATTACAGCTATCGTACAAACAAGGGGAATACGGTCTGTAAAGTGAGAGGCTTTACCTTGAATGCTGCCAATTCTATGGTCATCAACCACGACACCATGAAGGAACTCATTCAGGGAGTTCCGGGCACAACCAAAACCATCCACGAATCCAGAATATTAAGGGACAGTAAAAACAAAACAATCTACACAAAACAGACTAAAAAAGACTACAGGGTTGTTTTTACCAAGAGGGTCTGTCTGGATGGTGGTAGTACACTACCTTACGGGCACGCCGATATTCCCCGTACATGTATATAAATTGCAGGCGTGAGTAAATACTATCATTTGTAAAAAGAACCCCGGAAAAGACGGTACATTTTGTATTCTCTATCGCAACAATTAAGCGTTATTTAAAAGAAGCGAGATGGATCGTGATCGTTTGACAATGTTACAAGTACTGTTTAGTAAAGCAATGAGGGGCAATAATACCACGCGCAATGTCTATGTGTTGGCATTGTTCGTATTCCTCTTTTTCCTAACCTTTTATGTTGAACTATTAATCGTGGACAACAATCCGATGAACGAAACAGATTCTAATTTCTATTTAAACGACTCGTATTTTAACGAGAACGTTAGTTCTTTTCCAATTGGATGACCGGTAGGACCTCCGGTCATAGTGTATATTTTGTACGATATCTTCTTTTATATATTTTACTCTGACCTCTGCTTTGAATATGTTATTTTTGATTCATTCTTCTTATTGAATAGGGTAGTTGTATATTATAATTGTACCCACATCTCTTGGTAAAAGTTCGTTAAAAGCATCACGTTCACTTTTTACGTTTGTTGATAAACCGATGTGCCTTAACCTTTATCTTCTTTTCTCCTATCTGTGTATCTGACAGCATCTTCATACAGCGATAAACATTCAATTATAAAACCAGAGTCGTCCGACATGGACACGCTGTTAAAACATAGTTTTTCATGCATGGTAGTTGGACCGAGTTTTTCGGGTAAAACACAATTTGTGAAACGGCTCCTTGAAAATGCTTCAAACATGATCAACCCACCCCCGAAAAAAATAGTGTGGTTTTACAGCTAGTACCAACCGTGTTATACAAACATGCGGCGGTCCATTCCAAACATTGAATTTTATGAAAATCTACCTTCTGATTTTAACGATTTTACATCGGCTGAAAGGCCAACCTTATTTGTTATAGACGATTTGATGGATGTTGCCGCCGGCGATAAAAGGGTGTCCGCTTTGTTTACTAAAGGCTGTCACCATAGGAACGTTAGTGTCATTTATATAACTCAAAATCTATTTCACCGTGGTAAGGAGTCGAGGACCATTTCCCTTAATACACAATATTATTGCCTTTTTAAAAATTGCAGGGATAAATTGCAAATAACGTGTCTTGGTAAACAAATGTATCCCAGGCGTATTAAATTTTTCCAAGAAGCTTATCACGATGCTACTAAAGATAAATGGGGTGATTTGTTTGTGGATCTCAAACCCGACACACCCGAGGACTTTCGCCTTCGTACGAACATTTTTCCCGGAGAGACTCAATTCGCATACGTTTCAAAACTATAAAATATCAACGAGCTGTCTAGGGGGTTTAGTTGAACAACGATGTCTCGACGTGTACGGACACATGCCGTGCTTCTAAAGACATTGGCCCATTGTTCAGCCAAACATCGACGCCAGCTCCTCAAGACTGCGGACAGAGGTCTCATCGATGCCATCTGCGAATGTGTCGTCAACGTGCTTCGCGGAAACATCAAACTCTCACCCGTTCACAAACGTTCACTGGCCAAACACAAACGCCATCTCCGTAAACTAGCGGACCGCAAGACACCGTTAAAGGAAAGAAAACATATCATCACCCAGCGAGGAGGTTTCTTCATTCCTCTTCTTTCCAGACTGGTGGGCCCCGTCTTGGGTGTACTTTCAAACCTTGTCGCCGGTGGTAAATAGAGCTGAATACGGATGGAAAACACACGAAAAATGGTGTTGGTACCTCAAGAAACTTTACGAAATTTACAAACTACACAACCCACGGTGAAAGAGAAACAAATCAACGCGTTGGACGAGCAGATTAGAACGGTTCTTGAACGAGACGATCTCGATCTTCACGGAAAAGCACAACTGTATTCCCAATACCTCCGCCAATATCTCCATGCCACGGATTCTCTGAAACAACCGCTCTCCATCGAACTTAAAAACGCCCCTTATTCACCATCCACTCCTACATCGGACACACCGCCCATGTTGAAAGAAGAGAATACGGTAGAACGTGACATCCTACAACATGTACCGAAACTGTATGTGAAAAGAGCTACGCAACTCCTAGAGAAAATGAAACAACACGGTGATATTGGATGGACAGGTAGCGGAGAACTCCTTCTCCGTGGTCAACGCATGATGGGCACGAATATGTGTGACCTGGTCTATGATTTATTCAGAGAACGGCGGGGTTATACACCGAGTGGCAGTGAACATTTTATCCGTGGTTTGGCCAACATCAACCTCCCCGAAACGATCGTGAGCAATCCTCAAAGAAGAAGCGAACTCCAACGGTTGAAACGTATGCGGATAGAGTCTACCAGTTCTACAGCGAGTCCGGGTGTGTCACTTACTCCACAATCTAAACCCCTTAGTAGTAAATCCAAAAGAAAGAAAAAAGGCCGCGAAACGAGTCCTCGTTCCCCCGAGTGGTTCCCATTTTAAATTCATAGAGTTACCGTAAGGCTGTAATACAGACACCGCCCCCCGTGATACTATTTGAATGTATTGGATTGTATTTGTTTGTATATATTTTTTCTTCTTCTTTTTTTTTTCTTTTTTTTTTCTTTTCTTTTCAGTAACCCTAGTTTTGTACGCTATGACACGTTACATTTTAAAGAGTGAAATGTCAATTGTATTTTTGTTATTTTCACATGTTGTTTTTTTATCGACGAGATGAACAAACCGAAGAAATGAACGGATCGAAATCAGGCTTAAATCTTTTCAAGAAATGAGATATTCATTACCCGTTTGTTTAAATCTTAGCTTTACGAAGGTATTTTTTAAAAAATAATTTTAATTTGTTATTGTTATGTACCTATATTTAAGTAAGAGGTTTAGTTGGTTTATATATTCGCTATCGTCAACACGTTTACCTCGTTTCAAAACTGTTTTTTTTTAACGTAGTAGGTGTTCGAAAAAAATCTGTATATATTTTTTCTTTTAGTATGTAGTTTGCATTTTAACGAGAGTGTTGTTACGTTCCTAGTTTACGGTGCGGGGTTTCTTTGGTTTTTATATTCAGTGTCGTCATCGCGTTTACTTCGATTCAAAATGTCTACTGTATTATTTTTTATTTTTTCATAGTCAATTCACTTTTTTTTTCAACTGTTTTTCACATCGACGAGATGAACAAATCGAAGATATGAACAAATCGAAGATATGAACAAATCTGAACCAGGCTTGAATCTTTTTCAAGAATGAAATCTTCATCTACCATTTCACTTATATCTTCAACTTATGAAGGTTTTTAGTAAATTGTTCTTTGGCTTTTATATTCAATGTCGTCATCACGTTTACCTGGTTTTAAAAGTTGTATTTTATTTTTAGCATAACATGTTATAAAAAACTTGTATATAATTTTACTTGTAGTATGTAGCGTGTATTTTAACGAGAGTGTCATTCAATCATGATCCCCTTTCCTCTCATTCTCTCTCTCTCTCTGTCTCTCTTTCCGTTTACATAGACACTGTGTAAATAAATCCACCAGTTTGTACGTTTGTTTCATGGTTGAACAATATTTTATTCGTCATGTATTCATGCATTAAACATCATTGAATCATTGAATTTTGTATACATCTTTTCATTACAACGGTGTACATCGTATAGTATATAACTAAGAAATGATTGAAGCGTGAACAAAAGTCACGCTAGAAAAGAAAATAGGAAAATAAGAGGAGAGAAAGAGAGCTTGTACGAGGACTTAAGAGTGAAAGAAGATGCGGGAATGTACTTCAACGGTATAAAGAAGGGTTGTGGGATGTAAAAAGGATAACGGGTAGCGAGGGATACTGCATGAAAAGAGGATGTAAGATGAGGGTAAAGAGAGAGAGGGAAGGAGATGGAAATAAGAGAAAGATGTACGAGTGACGGTGTCATAAATAAGATTGAAAGAGGTGTGAGATAGAAATACGCGCAATAGGAGAAAAGAGGGAAAGAAGAGGAATACAAACACCCCTACAAATAGCCTTCCTTTTTATCACAATTCTAAACTAGCAAAACTAAATTCACGTCAATCAAATCTAAAAATGTTAGATGGATAAACTTTTTGCAACTTGACTGAGAACGAACGATACATCGTGCACTGGAAATGAGGAACCGTAACGGCGATTAAACCAGTTATTTATCTTGCTATCATTTTTATTAAAATCATTACCAAAGGCACTCACTATAGGGGTCAATGTATAACCCTGACACCGTTTGAGGTTATAAAATATACAATATTGTCCACACACGGTAGAAAGCGTTCCCTGCACTCTCTTGCTATTATAAATCCACGACACGCTATTTCTTTGAAGAAACGTGGTAAATCTTTTACTGTAAAACGAGGGTTCATTTCCATAAGAGTCAAAGAATTCCCCTTTACCCCCTTCAAAATAAAAAGCTACCCAATGAGATCCGGGTTGACTGCGAGGGTCCACGTTCACGACGAAGCATTGCTTGTCCAAACCAATATCACGTGGTAGAGCGTCCGATGGATAGGTTCCTCCGTAATAGGTTCTTATAGAGGGATGCTGTTTTAAAACGTAGTCGATCTGGGAGGTATCCATGGTGATTAAAAGTTACTACCTCGCCCGTTATCCCTGGTAGTCGTAGACAACGTTCCTACTTCTGTCGATTTGAATCAGTCCCTGTGATTCCGAATAGACGAGGCAATTTACAGTGTTCGGGAGGGGATTATCAAACTGCAGCTCTAAACGTAGGTTTCCCTGTTTGACGAGATTAAGATGACAGCCATCCGACAGATCGGGTGTAAGGTCAAATGCAAAGAGTGTGTACCCCCTTGCATACTCCTCTCTATTTACATCGATGCCCTTGTCCTGAAAAAGACGGTTGGAACCCATGAACAACGAGTTGTACGCGTGAATGAAGTCCTGGCCAGGACCCTCTCGAAAATTGGGGCGTAGGGGTTTCATAGGGATGCTTTCACCGTCCACGGTCACACCGACGTAATTCAACAGTAGATTTTTAAAGTTGTATGGATTCTTCCCGTACGTTCCATTGTAGGCGTCATTATCCACAAATCCTACGACGATACGGTTAGGGAGATGTCCTAGGAAGAGATTGTCTTTATTAAAAGACATGTTTCCAGCGGGAATCGTGAAGGACCGCACATCTACTTTATTAAGGGGGTATTTGGCATTCGCTTTCTCCAACATCTTAGCATGGTTTAACATGACGGACGGGTTCGTTTTCACCCTCCTAACATAGAGGGCAGCAGATAAAATCTTGACTTTGTAATTTCCTTCGGCATTTGAGGAAAGTAGACAGAAGGCATCTTTGCTACGGTTCAGTTTGAGTTTTAGATCCACCCCCGGAAGAAGCAGTCTTTCTTGAAAGAAAAGATCGCCGTAGATAGGCCCGAGCATGGAAAGTACTTTACTGTCGACGATAAATTCATGTCTTTTTTTCAATCCCTCGTTGACATTTTCTCCGGCTAAGAGAGGGTTTAGAAGGTCCATTTTCCCCGCTGCATCTTTATAATAGAGTTGTTGCGTGAGTTGAGAATCTTTTGTTTCCTTCCCATAATGCATTATGCTTTCAAGCATTGCCCGGTAGGGATACGTATTTGAAGGTTGAGACACGAGTTTCTCGTTCAACATGACATCGACTTGACTGAAAAGCGACGGGAGAAAGAGGTTGACGGGTCCAACGGGAGCCTCTTGTGCAAGGTTTGTATTGTCGGGGTTCGTGATTTTCGCAGTCACCGCTAACATGGTTTGCGATAGGTCGACGTATTCCTCAGCCGTGCCGGCTACATTGAACTCAATAGGGGCTGAATCCGTGATATTGCTCACGGGGTGGTATTCCACCCAGGGTCCTTTTAAGATACTCATCTGTGTAAAGGGAAGGGTAAACAGATCCAATTCAGATTTACAGCACACGTCGCTTTTATCGTGTAGGAGAGACATGATGGGTTACCAGGAGTAATTTCGGAACACAGTTAGTCGAAGATATCTGACGAGCGAGCTCTTTTACCACGGGATGACGGGGTGCGAATGATGCGTTTACGTTTTTGCCCTTTCCTTTTAACCTTTCTCACCAGCAATAGACTCGCTCCTCCCCCTTGATTGCGTGCCGATGTCATCTTGTTTTTAATCCCCTTGACAGTTTTGGTGGCCAGACGTTTACCCGCTTTTTTCACGTTTCTTTTTGTCGCAGATTTTATCGATTGTCCAGCGCTCACGTCCTTGGCGATATTAAACCCCGTTTCCATCGCCTCCTTCCCCAGAGCCATAGCGCCTTTTTTGAGGAGAGGCGCCGCAGATCGAAAAAGTCCTTTCACCAAACTCCCTAGACCGTGACCGCGTTGAATAGGTGCCCCGCGGAAAACGGGCAATGTCCCACCCCTCTGATTCCTAATAGAGGGTGAATACCCATTCGTCAGCCTAAAAAGGTTACTAGGGTTTCGGTAATTGTATTTCATGGCTTATGAAGGTTGAATTTCTTATAAACTAGGGGAGCGTTCACGGAAATGTAGCTTCACGATCAACTTTCCACGTTCAAATGGAACCACTTCTCCAGATTCGGTGGTTAATATAATATCGATAGTTTCAAAGTTATACAGTTTCAGCGGCACGTAATGAGGGGTGTTGTATGTGCTGACGCTATTGTACTGGTCTTTTCTAGCTTTGGTTGCTATTGTACGTAATAAAGGCACGGATACTTCCCCTACATGCTGATACTGTACAATATCTGAATACATATAAAAAGTATGGAATTCCACGTGAGGATCCACGGGCATAGGGCTCTCCGTGGATTCTAACAGATGACATTCCCTGTCAAATCCAAGCATCCTGGCCAAGTTGCACGGTATCAGCAGCCCCGTGTCAGCTCTTAGTTGAACGTAAACCTTTCTCGATGATTTTTTGTAAAACAGTCCAACTCTTTGACGCCAGTCTTGGTCCAACGATGCATTGATCATGGTTATCAACTCTTCCCCCGTATAATAGTATCCCGTCGGTAGAGTAACATTTCGTACCAACGGTACACCATCTTCTGTGTTTTTGTTAAATACGGTTATGGTATTGTTGATTTCTCGTACATTATACCATGTACATTGAAATTGAATTTCAACCAACGCGACCTCGTAATCGCCGTTCAGAGAGAGGGGAGTATGCAGTTTTGTCGTAAACTTACACGTCTTGTTATTAGGGTAATATTGCATACTACTGTTGCTAGGCAGTGTCATGTAGAAATGAGACCCCATGGTATATCAACCGCTTCAGACTTTTCCGGATAGCAAAATGAGGTCGTTTTCAAAGGTGTACCGTCATTTAACGGTTTTCAACCCTGTCTACCCAGCTGTCAAATTCTTTGCCATAACCCTTCCACCTTACCAGGTATTGTTTCTTTCCCTTATAAATACGATTACGTAATATTTTCTCAACAGTGTAAGACGTGTCCACCGTCTTCACAACACGTTGAAGTTCTTTCTCGTAAAATGTACCGCGTAATTGTTCACCGTTATAATCCTTTATCTTGTATACGGGTAATTTTCTTTTCACCCGTGCACTCACCGTGAATACCTCTTCCGACCAATTTGTTTCGTAACCCTTTTCAAAACGCATTTTTGATTTACTGATGCGAACCCGATCTCCCGTAACAAATTTAAATCTTGTAGTTTTTTTCGACTTTCCCTTTTTTCTCTCCCCATACATAGAGTACCTATATATAGAGAGTAGCGACATAGGGGGACCGGAATTTGATGGTCACGTGACTTCTGGCGCCATTTTGTTTCACTCCGCAGCGCAGCGCGCAGGCTAGGCTACTAGCGCAGCGCTATCATACTATACCGCGACCGTGATATCAAACGAGCTCGAGCCGACAGTCAGTGATTTAAAGAACACGACAAAATGACGGGTTGTTGCGCCTTCGGGTGCAGCAATAAATCGGAGAAGGGGTACAAGATGTATAGGTTCCCCGCAGATCCACAAAGACGAAAAATATGGGAGAACAAAGTGAGCAGAGTGGGGTGGAAACCAACTTCTTCATCTTGTTTGTGCGAGGTAAGAATTAAGTGCCATATCGGTCCCATGTATTAATATCGGTGTATACTAGGTCTAGGTTATGTATGTAAACTTGAACTTGCAGAATAGGCATGCCTTTCTTCTGTCTGAATTGGTCTACAGAATTCAACCAGAACTGAACAGAATGTTTATTAAACCTTAAAGAACAACCGACTTTTAGTCTTAGAATGTATAAACACATGAATGGTGAATAATGGCAAGAATTCAGATGTTATTGTTAAAAAGCTTGAGAGTGGATTCGAATTTCTGGGTTCTTGCACTGCCACTAGCTGCCACTGTACTGACTACTGGCCACTGCCACTGAAACGTGTCTGCTGCACTCTTTTAAAACAGACACAAAATCACTCTAACCAAGATTTAATTAAAGAAATTGCTAGGTAACCTGATTCAGAACTCTTAGTTACTAAGAGTACACTACAAATTTGAAGTTTCAGAGTTGAAAGTTAAATTTTAAAAAAATGTCCTCTCACTCCAGTCTTATGAGCTAACTTAACTTGATTGTTAACGTTAGACTGGCAGTAGAGTTGAAAGTGAAATTTAAAAAGAAATGAATATCCTTTCACTCCAGTCTTATGATCTAACTTAATTGTTAACGCTAGACTGGCAGTAGAGGGGCACGGCCGATTTGGGAGACTGAACAAGAGGACAATAGAAACAAGTCAACGCCAACAATAAGGCCCTTTTTCTCAGCCAAATTTTTTCCTCTCTAAAATCAGAAGCCCATTTGTTTGATGTGGGGATCATGACAAAAAATGTTATGAAAACAAAAGTAGACAATCAGGTGTAATTTTTCATGAAGAATCTGCCTATCAGTAGATCACATTTTCATTTTGACCCAGTTTTTTTACGAAAAAAATGTCAAAAAAAGTAATTTAGGCAAAAAAATGAGTTTCAGAATTTTTTAAACAACAAAGATGTTTAGGTCTTCATGGTTCCGTTTGTAATTCACATTTAAAAATGGTGGCTTTTTAGCGTATCCGCATGTGCTGTTGGTGATGCAACAGAATCAAAACTATTTGATGTGGAATAGTGAGATGTCTGATAAAATCTAGGCATTGGTGCTAATGTCTGGGTCTCAACAAAGAGATTCAGTCATACAAAGTATGCTCTCCGAAGGAGGACTAGAGCGTTAAAAGGAGGACGAGAGAAAACTGCTCTCCTGACTTCCGATACTAGCCCTTGTTCATATATGATCAAATCTCTTTCTTGAGACCCAACATAGCACCACTGGAGATTTCATCAGAGATTCTGTATTTGTCAGTGTCACTAAGTGTAGTTAAAGTAGATTAGGGGATTTTGTATTAGAGTAATCAGCATGTGTATGTCGATGAAAAATTATTAAATTTCAGACGATGAGAAGTTCAACTTTAATATTCTCCCAACTGACCTAGTGATGTGAAGGGGGGGGGGGTGACAGGATGCAGTGACATTTGTTGAAATCTATAGCACTACCTACATTTAGGACCAGGGAGTAATTAGAATTAACAAAATTGTATCTTCTTTTCTGCAGATTCACTTCGACGAATCACAATTTGAAAATGGGAGAGCAGATGGGAAGAAAAAACTGAAGTGGCAGGCGGTACCAACCATATTCTGCCATCGCAGTGTGCTGAAGCCCAGGCGACCTCTGAAACGCCTTCCCTGTACACCAAACGCTGTTAGTGCTACCAAGAAATCGTGCGTTTCCTTTGACCATACCTACTGTATTAACCCAGCAGACAAAACAACATCAACCTCAAGTTCAGGTATGTACTGAATCAATGAATCATTTTCATCAAACTACTGTCGTTATTTTGACTTCCTTTGTCCAAACTACAGAAGGGCAATTCCATGGTTACTCATGTTACATTTAGAGAGATATTGAGTAACCTCTTAATCTCCTGTTCTTTGACTATAGGTGTTTAAAGGTAAATGAGTTTTATTCACAACACTGCACATACATGTATATATTAGATTAGTAAATGCAGCTTCAAAACTTCAGAAGTTGGTTACTCACATTCACTATTTTGGACCAACCAGTGGAATTGCCCAGAAGACAAAATGTGTGCCTTCATTCTGTAGGATTGCATGTATGCAGTTTATCTGTAAGTACAGGGGAGCATTTCATGAAGAGTCTTGTCAGTGATTTTCACTGACAAAGTTGCTCTCAGCCAATCAGATGCATGGATTTCAGTAGCTTATAACAGTTGTCACTGAAAATCACTGACAAGACCCTTTATGAAACACTCCCCAGGGCTGTATAAAAACATGTGAAAAATTATTTGTCTTACATCATGGGGGGGGGGGGGAGACTGCTTTTGTTATACTCAAAAACAGCTGCATATTGTTTTTCTTATTCATTTAGAATGTTCATTGAAATCAAATAGATAAATGCCCCCCCCCCCCCAACACACATATACACACAAATAAAAAAGATCAATAATTTTCCATTATTTGAGATGCTGTCCCTTAAATCTGTTTGACTACAACTAGGGCCTCTTTTTCATTTGTTGAAAAATACAAGTTCCCATGATTAGAAAAAATTAGCATTTATTCTATTTGGAAACTGGTATGTTAAATTTCCATTAATTTCATGAAATTATGCTCATTCATTTCTTGGAGGATTTTGAGGTATAAAATGCCTCTTTTAAGATGTTCATGCTAGCAATGTGATTTAGAAAAGGGATTAACTTGCATAAGTTTGTCTCAAAATGAAGGGTACAAATTACATTTTGTTCTCTTATTATGTTATTGTAATTTTTTCTCTCCTCTGTTATTTGTTATTCCAGTTGAAGACACTGCCACAGAAGACGAGAACTACCCCACCACATCAAGTGTACCACCAAGTAAACCAAGAATGAAAATGCAAGGGCGAATCAAGGCCTTGAAGACTGAACTTCGGAAAACAAAGAAACAGTATAGAGCTATTCAGAAAGCTAAACTGAAACAGGAATCGCGGACAGCACGAATCTTTGGGAAAGATCAGCTAAACGCTATGTCACGACGGGCTATGAATGGGGTACAGTGGTCACCAGCCACAGTTAAGAAGGCCCTACAGCTGAGGTTCTCATGCGGATCTGCAGGATACAAAGTCCTATTAAAACTGCAATACCCACTACCATCGGAACGCACACTTCAGAGGAGGTTACAGTACATTTCTTTTCAGCCAGGTGTATTGACGCAGGTCTTTGAACTGCTGAAGCTGAAAGTTGATGGTCTGACTAAGGAAGAACGACTTTGCTGTCTTACACTAGACGAAATGTCTCTGACACAAAAAGTCGAGTATGATGTCACTAGTGGTCACCTTGTAGGCGATGTGACATTGCCAAGACACTGTGGCAGTGCTGACCATGCGCTTGTGTTCATGCTCGGTGGAGTTACCTCTCGCTGGAAGCAAACGATTGGCTATCACTTTACAAGTGGCTCAACAGATGGAACCGTCTTCAAGGACATCATTCTGGACATCATCAGTCGTGCAGCAGACACCGGCCTGCATGTCCAAGCAGTAACAAGTGATATGGGTAGCGCCAATCGGGCTATGTGGAAGTCGTTTGGGATAATATGCGGTAAACATTGCCAGACGGTCTACAGAATCCCTCACCCGCATGAAACAGAAGGTTGGCTATATTTTCTCGCTGATGTTCCTCATTTGTTCAAAAACATCAAGTCAGCTCTAATAAGTGGGCAGAATTTTGTTCTTTCCAAAGACACCGTAGAGCGCCATCAGCTTCGCTCATCCATCGTCAGTGATTACCCCCTTCGTGACCTTGCATGCTTCCAAGAGCACCACGAGTTGAAGCTGGCACCAAAGCTTACCAAGGCCAAACTTGCACCTTCTCACTTCGATAAAATGAAAGTGTCCAGCGCTACACATGTGATCAGCCATGATGTGAGCAGTGCCCTCATCTACCTTGCAAACAAAGAAAGCAGGGGTGCAGACCATCGTACTGCAGCTTGGTTTATCGAAATGGTGAACCATTGGTTCGAGATCATGACAAGCCGTCATCCTGTTTTGGCCCTTAGCAAGATGAAGCCAGATAAATACAAGGAAACTCTGTCATTTCTTCAAGATGTCATAGCTGTGTTCAAGGGGATGAAGATAGGTAAAGGTGACTGGAAGCCATGCCAAACCGGGGTCATCTTGACTACTACATCAGTTCTTAGCTTAGCTGAGGAGCTTCTTGATGCTGGTCACAAATACCTTCTTACAGGTAGACTAACACAAGACTGTTTGGAAAATCTGTTTTCTGTCGTTCGCCTGAGGAAGCCGGTTCCATCCCCACTAGAATTCAAGTTTGCCCTGAAACTCATCAGCACTGCCCAGTTTCTCACGCTGCCACGTTCAGGGAGTTACAGCCAAGATGATGGCGAATTCCTCTCTGATTTCCTGCAACAGGACGTGCAGGTCCCAGAGGAAGTCGAAGTCTCCGGCATCATCCTGTCAGACAACCCCGATGTCAGTTGTCTTCCTCCAGCAGAGCGCGCTAGCCTCTACAACCTTGCAGGCTACTGTGCCACCAGTGTTAAGAAGAACGAGACAACTTGCGAAACTTGCATGAGTGAGGTGACAGCTGAAGACACAGAAGACACACATCCTGATGCACAGCTCACCATGCTGAAAGAGTTCAAAACTGGATGCCTTCTTCGTGTGTCAGACAAGACATTCAAGATGATATTGACTGTCGAAGCGATGTTCCGCGAGGCTGAAGACAAGCTCATGGATGAAAAAAATGTGAAGAGTGTGCTTCTAGAACGAGCGCAAGAGCTAACTGAAGATGTGAAGTTTGCAGACTGCCATAACATCAAAAGGAAACTTCTTGCGAAGTTTATCACATCGCGGCTACATTTCTTCTGCAAGAAGCAAACCGGCAATCGTAAGAAAGAATCATCAAAGAAGTTTAATGAACTGGGTAGCAAAAGCATGACAATGAGGAAGCTAGCCGCAAAAGTGAAGTGAAATGAATCAAGCATGCAATAAGTAATTTCCATTCTAGTTTTGAACACTTGAAGGGGTGAATATACATGTATGAGGGCAATTAGGCAATGAATATTAACTTTTATTTGAGCTAAGTACACCATGTAGGTATACATGTACAGTGTATCCTAATACTGGATTCAGGACAAACAAATGTATATTTCTACAAACTCCTTTTTTTTAAGTATGCAAAAATATTGTGATACAAGTCATTGATATCACTCTGATTATCTGTTCCCAAGAACAGTCTGAGAGTATTGATACAAAGAGGATGTAAATCTGTACCTTTAATTTTTTACATTATAATTGCTGTAAGAGAAATCCTGATATAGTATTAAAAGGAGTGTTGAAAAATGACATTCTGATGTGAAAAGAATGTTCTTTTAATAGTGCTATCCTAAATATTTTGCAATTCTGATCACATTTTGTTAACTTTTAGAGCAAAAAAAAAGCACTTTCAAGCATTTTAAGGGAATTATTCTCAAAAATTATTCTTGTATTTAACATTTTAAAGGTATTCATAGAATATACAGTAAAGGTGTTTGCAGTGGACACATTCCCTTTAAATACTTAATGATAGATATATCATATTTGTAATATTTATTTGCCAGTTCTTTGCCATGAAAGAAATTCAGTAGAACCATCTTTTTCATTTAGAAAGCACAACTTATTTTGGGAACAATATGCTACAACCTCCTTATAAAGAGCACTGTTAAAAGAAACTCTAATTATGAAAAGGTAATTTTGCTGGTCCTGCTTATTTGTATTCTATTCTTTTTTTAGCCCTGATATAACAAGGTTTCGATATAAAGAGGTACAGTTAACTTTGCATTAGTCAAATCTGTTGGGATCACAAGAAATAGTTTGACTTACATGTATGCAAAATTTGACATAGGAAATGTAAATAACACATGTTTTGTATAGTTTGGTCAAAAAATTTGATTCGACTTAGGGAAAGTTTGACTTATGTGACTTCGAGTTATGCAAGGTTAACTGTAATTTCCTTGGTCCCAAGGAGTTTGTTATAATGAGGACCCACTGTACTGTACTTGGGCATAAACTGAAGTTCTTAGTTTCCAATTTCAAACTTGGCCAAATAGACTTGTTTCTGTTTGTTCATTTTATGAAATAACCATTCCAATGATGGAAGATTTCCTTGAGCAAGTAGAGATTGACCCATTTTTTGCGCTGTTGCTTGCAAATTGCAGTAGGCCCATGTGTTTTGTTGCATAATTCATGATTATGTACATTTGCTTGTTTAAGCAAAGTTGAATTGTACATTTCAGATAAATAATGATACCCATCACATTCCAGTTTGTTATGTTTGGTAAAATTTTTATTAATTGATGATCCTGACAGTCCCATTGTGTAATGTCTGAATTTCCAAATTTTAAAGTTGTTTTGTCATGTCAGGGATGTACATGTAGACATGAGTTTGGAGCTTGCCTGGAGAAAATCAAGTTGATGCAGGGCGAGCCGAGCATATTTTTATACCGCTTTTTAAAAAAGGGCACAATGTATATCTATACTGGAATGGTATGGGAGAAGTTGTGCAGTATCTGGAATTGAAGAAGATGTGCAATGGTATTCAGATTTTCTATTCTAAGTTTAAATTGAATCATCACTACGTGTAGAACTAAAGTACATGCATGTTCAGGTACAGTTGTGACACTGGGCAAGGATAATATGACATGATTTTCATGGGGAAATACATATATTATTGTCTACATTGCTCCCCCTTTTTTTCTTACATATCTTAATACCATACCCATTATGTATTGTTGAAAAGGATGTCTTTTCGAGAAGGAACATGTATATATATGTATTATGACATTAAAAAAATTGAAGAAAAAAAAAGCAACAAACAAATGAATTGCCCAATTTCAAAGTTACTTTGTGTCAAATTTATACTCGGAACTCTGTGTGTGTGTGTGTGTGTGTGTGTGTGTGT